CCTAAGCAATAACCCCCTCCCCCACATCTCCACCCTAAACAATAATCCCCTCCCCCACATCCACCCTAAACAATAACTCCTTCCTCCACCTCTCTGCCATAAACAATAACCCCTCCCCCCACATCTCCACCCTAAACAATAACCCCCCCTCCCACACATCTCCACCCTAAACAATAACCCCCCCTCCCACACATATCCACCCTAAACAATAAACCCCACCTTTCCACCCTAAACAATAACCCCCTCCCGCACATCTCCACCCTAAACAATAACCCCCTCCCGCACATCTCCACCCTAAACAATAACCCGCTCCCCCACATCTCCACCCTAAAAAATAACCCCCTCCCCACCTCTCCACCCTAAACAGTAACCCCCTCACTCACATCTCCACCCTAAACAATAACCCGCTCCCCCACATCTCCACCCTAAAAAAAAAACCCCCCTCATCCACCTTTCCACCCTAAATAATAATCCCATCCCCCCCACCTCTCCATCCTAAACAATAACTCCCCTCCCCCACATCTCCACCGTAAACAATAACCCCCCCACATCTCCACCCTAAACAATAGCCCCCTCCTCCACCTCTCCACCCTAAACCATAAACCCCTCCACCTTAAACAATAACCCCCACCCCACCTATCCACCGTAAACAATAACCCCCTCATCCACCTTTCCACCCTAAATAATAATCCCATCCCCCCACCTCTCCATCCTAAACAATAACTCCCCTCCCCCACATCTCCACCGTAAACAATAACCCCCCCCACATCTCTCCACCCTAAACAATAGCCCCCTCCTCCACCTCTCCACCCTAAACCATAAACCCCTCCACCTTAAACAATAACCCCCACACCCCACCTATCCACCGTAAACAATAACCCCCTCATCCACCTTTCCACCCTAAAGAATAATCCCATCCCCCACCTCTCCACCCTAAACAATAACCCCCTCATCCACCTTTCCACCCTAAAGAATAATCCCATCCCCCACCTCTCCATCCTAAACAATAACCCCCTCCCTCACAACTCCACCCTAAACAATAACCCCCTCACCTTCTCTCCTCCCTCAATAATAACCCCCTCCTCCACCTCTCCACCCTAAACAATAAACCCCCCATCTCTCCACCCTAAACAATAACCACCGCTCCACCCTAAACAATACTCACCTACCCACATCTGCACCCTAAAAAACAACCCCTTCCTTATCCTAAACAATAACCCCTATCCACCCTCAAAAATAACTCCCCTCCACCCTCAACAATAAACCCCCTCCCGACCTCTCCACCCTTAACAATAGCCACCTCCTCACTTCTCCACCCTTAACAATAAACCCCTCCCCCCACATCCACCCTAAACAATAACTCCCTTCCCCACCTCTCCACCCTAAACAATGACCCCCTCCCCCACCTCTGGACACTAAACAATAACCCCCTCCCCACTTTTCCATCGTAAACAATAACCCCCTCCCCAACCTCTCCACCCTAAAGAATAACTCCCTCACACACCTCTCTTGCCTAAACAATAACCCCCTCCTCCACCTCTCCACCCTAAACAATAAACCCCTCCCCCACATCTCCACCTTAAACAATAACCCCCACCCCACCTATCCACCGTTAACAATAACCCCCCATCCATCCACTTTCCACCCTAAAGAATAATCCCATCCCCCACCTCTCCACCCTAAACAATAACCCCCTCATCCACCTTTCCACCCTAAAGAATAATCCCATCCCCCACCTCTCCATCCTAAACAATAACCCCCTCCCCCTTCTCTTCTTCCTCAATAATAACCCCCTCCTCCACCTCTCCACCCTAAACAATAAACTCCCATCTCTCCACCCTAAACAATAACCACCTCTCCACCCTAAACAATACTCACCTACCCACATCTGCACCCTAAAAAACAACCCCTTCCTTATCCTAAACAATAACCCCTATCCACCCTCAAAAATAACTCCCCTCCACCCTCAACAATAACCCCCCTCCCCACCTCTCCACCCTTAACAATAGCCCTCTTCCCACTTCTCCACCCTTAACATTAATCCTCTCCCTGCTTCTCCACCCTCAACAATAACCCCCCCCCTGTCTCTCCACCCATAATATTAACCTCCTCCTCACTTCTCCACCCTTAACAATAACCCCCTCCCCACTTCTCCACCCCCTGGGGTCCTGTGTTATGATGGGGTAGTATAGGGGAGGTGGTCCTGTGTATTCTTGTGGAATGGGGGCCCTGTGTAATAATGGGGGGTAGCATTGGGGAAGGGCTCCTGTGTAATGATGGGGGTATTCTGGGGGAGGGGGGCTTTGTAATGATGGGGAAGGATGGGGGAGGTATCCTGTGTAATGTTGGGGGGAACTCTGTAATAATGGGGGCAGTAAGAGGGAAGGGGATTCTGTTAAATGATGGGTGTAGTGTGAGGGAGGGGGTCCTGTGTAATGATGGAGGTGCGAAAGTGCATGGGGGGGCCAAGAAAATGTTTGCCCAGGGTCCAATCAATATTAAAGATGGCCCTGATTATCCCCATGTTTCATCATTTACCTAAGGTGCACAATGTAGGAGTCCTGCTACAGGGATGGCCCCTTGTAGAGGGTTTTGGTTTCTTGTTGGAACCTTTGGGGGAATGGGTGGATTTGCACCACTACTGCCACTTATTTTGTGACTCCATGGCTGTTTTAGAGATACCAAAGCAGTTCTTGTGTTGTGTTCTTGTGTTCTTGGCAGGGGGATTTAAGTTAGGCCACCTTAGATGTGAGGTATTTTTCAATTCTCACCATTTTGGCTATAGTAGCCCTTATATTTCATCTAGATATAGTGACTACTCTCAGGAACTGCAAGAGCATTTTATTACGGCAGTGGAATTTGTCTTGACCCACAGTTACTTCCTATTTGAGGGAGCTTACTACATGCAGAGCCATGGAGCTTCTATGGGGGCTGGATTAATCCCCTCTCTCCAACATTTAATGGTTTAGTGGGAGCTCTATATTTTTGCAGATGGCAATCCCTTCTCTAGGGGTATTGTGTGGTATGGAAGGTATATAGAGTAATTGCTGTAATTATGGTGAAGAGATGCATCTATGTTGGAACAACTAGAACAATATTTTAATGACAATAATCTTACATATTCTTCACTTGTACCTAGGATCATGTCAGTATAGATTTTCTAAATGGGACATTTATGGAAGATGTAGAAAGTAGAACAGTTTCTTCTACCATTCATAAAGAATGTACAAGTAAAAGGACTCTGAAATGAACTTACTGTCATCCCCCCACACTATTAAAATTACACAGAGTGTAGAGTTACGGAAAATTGCTCCAGTGATGATATTTTTGAACAGGAGTCCATGTGCATCACAAAACGGCTTTGACATTGTTTAGTGACATGTTCGACCCAAAGAGATAACAAGTGAGATGTTATTCATTCAAAGTAACACAAAAAGAGACGATGAAAGTTTAACTATTACTAAAAAGAATTTGCTGATTTTGTGTAGAGACAAGGAGTTACATCTGACTTTAAAAGTATGTCACTTCTCAAGTCATAGCGCACCCACACTTGACTCCATGCTATCTTCTAGTTGTTATCATTATATAAAAAAGGATTCTAAGACATGGTTTGGATCTTACAGATGTGGGGGAATACCTGTTAGTATTGCAGGAGGGCACAGGAACACGAAGGGGTGTATTTAAAAGTTTCTGTGATATTCAAATGTTTTCTTATTGATTTATACTGGAAAATATGTGTTAGTGGAATTTTGGAATTAACATCACCATCCACCATACAGTGGACAAATGTGGTATTTGCTGTCTTAAATCAATGAAAAAGATTCAAACAGCACAAGAAGTAGCCTACAATGAGTGTAAATGCACTTTCACTGGATGAATTTCTAGGAAAATTTGTTATAAATATAGCTGTAGGACTGTTAGATCTTTGGTTATAGAACGTGAATGTCCTATGAAGAGGTTTTTTAATTTGCAACACAGATTATTTGGTCTATGTAGTTGAGTGTCTCCTATGCTTCCTGTAATAATTTTGGATGCACCTTAATAGGTGAGGATTTGGAAACTTTATTTCAGAGGCAGTAATGCTAAAAGCTCTCCAACTGTCAAATGTGTCTTAGCACTTTTTTCATGCACATCCTAGAGATGTGACTTATTTCTCATTCTTAGGTTGAAAGAGAGTTCCCGTGAGCCAGGGGAGGAAATCTGTAAAAAAAAAAAAAAAAAAAAAAGACTCCCAGAGTGAAAGGATACCTCATCATCTTATTTATTATTAGGATTAATGGGTTTCTGGATAGAAATCGAAAAATGTTTCCTTCTGACTGAAGCAGACTGATGACCTTATCTTAACCTAAGCAAATTCATTGTAGTGTAGATCAAGAAATGCTTTGTAATCGTAAAAGATACTGTTGATGTGTGTGGTGGCAAGTTAAAAAAATGCATTCTAGCAGATGTGTAAAATTACTGAACAGTCCACTTTATGTAACGTGAACCCAGCCTTATTTCTTTAAAGTCCTTTCTTCTTAGCTTGATTTTGCTGCTTTAACCACTTGCCCTCCAGAGGATTTACCCCCCTTCCTGACCAGGCCATTTTTTGCGTTACGGCGCTGTGTTACTTTAACGAACAATGGTGCAGTTATGCAATGCTGCACCCAAATGAAATTTACATCTTTTTTTCCCCACACATAGAGCTTTCTTTTGGAGGTATTTGGTCGCCTGTGCATTTTTTATTTTTTGCGCGATAAAAAAAAAAACGACTGACAAATTGGAGAAAAAAAAAAAAACAATATTTTTGACTTTTTACTATTAAACATGTCCAACAAAAAATTTCCAAAATAAAATTTCATCATAAATTTAGGCCAAAATGTATTCTGCTGCGTGTCTTTGCTAAAAAAATCCCAATACGTGTAAATTGATTGGTGTACGTGAAAGTTATAGCGTTTACAAATGGTGGTATATATACTGGGCTTTTTTTATTTTATATTTTTATTAGTAATGGCAGTGATCAGCGACTTATAGCGGGACTGCGGCAGACATTCTGACACTGAGGGCAACTGACTTGGTGTCACTGACATCCCCAGGGACACCAAAATAGTGATCAGTGCTAATAAAAAGCACTGACACTGTACTATTGGCACTGGGCAGGAAGGGGTTAACATGTAGGGCAATCAAAGGGTTAACTGTGTGCTGTGTACCGTTTTACTAAGTGTGCTGTGTTAGTGCTTCACTGTAAGCACGCTACTTTGCATGGCTGTGCATATCACAGTCATGCAAAGCAGTATGCAGGAGCTGACAGGGGAGAGAACTGTTTTGTATACAAAAGGTTCTCCCCCCCCCCCCTTTGGAGATGCTCAGGAATCACTGACCAGGACCCGGTGATTGATAACCACCTCTCGCATGCACCCCCTACCCGGAAATGCAAAATCACATATATGTATACGTGATTTTGCGCACAGCTGCCGCCCATAGCAGTATATATCTGCTATTGGGCAGAGCTAAAGCGGTTAATCTTTACACTACCTGCAAAGCAACTTGAAGGTATGACTGACTATATACTAACTATGCTAACTAAAAATAGATACTGCTCCAATGTATTGTAGTTTCAAGACATTATTCTACTCTTTGTTCTGTGTTTGTGTTTCAATGACAACCACTCCCATCATTTCATGTCCTTCTATCACAAGCTGTCACAGGGACAGGACATACGGTGAAAAAAAGACTAAATTATTTACATATCTGAAAATTAAAAAAAATGTTGGGCGACTCAGTATGTTCTCTTGCAGTTGAATAATCAGGAAATATCAACATTGCATTTTCTATTGCAGTAAAAAAAAGTCTTGCAATGTTATATATAAGAGATCATTCTTTAAATTATAATAAAATTAGCCACCAGACAATATACATAAAAAAGTCTGGACAGCCCAATCATACTGTAAGTGTTTGTGCCTGTAGCCTGCAAAAAAAAGAAAAATGCCTGCATGTTCATTCTCTAATAAATATGATCAGGTTACATGGCACCAAACTACAGCTACTAGATATTCATTGCTTTCTTTTAAAACTAAAGTTGAAAAAGCTACTTTTTAGTATAAGCAGCCTAGGGAACTAATTTTCACGTTGTGTTCATTTTGTATTAAGGTAAACAACACAGGTCTGGATCTCAGCGCAGCTAAGCAGTAGAAGCTTATAGCGCAAGGCCAGGGGTGACATTACCCAATCATGGAGCTGCTTTGGAAGTTTGAAAACAGATTTTGCATTGAAAGTGGTAATGTCTTTCTTTCCCTTTTTGCTAAAATCACAGTGACATTTTAAATCACTCTTTTCTCCAAATAGAACATTGCCAAAAGCTAAATGTCCCACACTACTTCATGTCCCTTAATTATGCTTCATGGTCCTATTATTGCCAGAAATTGAAGAATAATTACATAAGAAAAAATTCCACTTACATGGCCATTAACCTTCACGTTTAGAATTTAAGCATAGGTCTAAACTAGGCATGGAATGCTGCTGTGACTACTTACAGTTAATCTGGATAGAATTCAGGTGGCTGTGTTAAAGGGAATCAATATTTCCTGAAAACGGCAAACAAAATCAATCAGATTTAACAAATAGATGTAACTGAAAATATACACTATGCATTTTCATACTACTTTACCTACAAAAGTAAAATAAATATATAGTACCGGTATATGGTTATAAAAACACAAATTTGATCATTCTGAAGGTTTTAAAGTAAGGATATAAATACTGTAGACATGGATAATAAAATGCATCTAAATTACAAACTGATCATCGATATCAAATCCCCACTTTGCGTTTACTATATAATGTGACCCAGATACAGTATATTTCTAAAAAGAGTACAACAACAACCTATCAGAAAATGTAACTGGAAGATACTTGCCAATAACCAGCAAGTGTCTGTGATTTTATAAAACACAAAATTTGATAATTCTGAAGGTTTTTAAATAATAATGTAAATATTGTAGACATGGATAATAAAATACATCTAAAATTAAAAACTGATCATCAGTATCAAATCCCACACTTTGAGTTTAGTATATAATATGACCCAGATATAGTATATTTCTAAAAAGAGTACAACAACAACCTATCAGAAAATGTAACTGGAAGATACTTGCCAATAAATAGTAAGGGGTTTATTTACTAAACCTGGTTGACTCAGAATCTTGGGCACCTGTGCATGGTAGCCAATCAGCTTCTAACCTTAGCATGTTCAGTTAAGCTTCAGCAATAAAACCTGAAAGCTGATTGGTTTTTATGCAGAAGTGGACAAGATTCTGAGTCAACCAGGTTTAGTAAATAAACCCCTAAGTGTCTGTGTTTTAAAAAATACCCATATAGTAGTGATTGTACTACAACAGTCCCTTCCTAAAGGACTGATGTTATACAAAAAATGTATCCATAGACTTTGTACTTTTCCTTCTCCAGCATCCTTATGAAGTTTCCCAATAGTAGAACAGACCAAATGTTGAAAATTATAATTATGAGGGCCCTGGAATAATGCTGTAAATCTTGTAAGTGTGGATAATCAAATACATCTAAATTACAAACTGGTCATCATTATCAGATCCTCCACTTTGAGATCAGTATATAATATGACCAGATATATTCCTTGCATGATGAACGCAACAGAAATATACCAGAAAATGTCTTTGGAAAATGCTTGCCAAAAACAGCACTTGCCTGCAACTCTAGAAAATACCTCTATAGCAGTAACTATACTACAACAGTTTTCCCCTAAAGTACTTGTGTGATATACTACAAAATGTATCTATAGGCTCTGAACATTTTCTACTCCCAAAGTCCTCATGAAATTTTCCTATGGTAGAACAGACCAATTATGAAAAAAAAAAAAACAGACCTAACCAGGCAGGGGTAGTACTTAGGTCCTCTCTCATGCTGACCCATACACTGGATACACATCTGCTGAGCCTGGACATATATAGTAGATGACATCTTCATTTCTTAGCTGCTAATTTTCACGTAGCTAGGTGTTGCAGAGAAAATAAGCACTCTTTTACCCTGCGCAGGTTGCTATTTGAAGATTAAGGACTTCAAAGACTTAAGTTGTGCGCATATTACAGAATTATTAATGACCAGAGTGCGAGGTATGACAAAGATACAGCCTGCAGTATCCATATTTAAAGAGGAGACAGAAAACACATGTTGCTCACTTGTGTTACGAGTTTAAAATGTTAAACAGAAATGGATCACATTACAGAGATAATTATTTTTTTTTATAGTAGCAGCACAGGCCACATGGAAAAGTGCATCAGCTTGTATTAGGGAATTACCATTACTAACATATAGGATACTAAACAGAGAAAGTGAGTGTCAGAACAAATACAAAAGTGAACAAAGACAGCATAAACAAAGTGCGACTAACCTGCATTTAACCATTTTGTGGCCAGCATACAGACAAATGATGGCCGGGCATGAAAAGCACCCTTCTGAATGGACATCATATGACGTCCTCCCCAGAAAAAAACAACATCTCATGGGGCCCGGGGTCAGTAGGGGGCCCATGAGATGCCTCTGGTACCTTTTTCATAGGCTTTTTTGAGTTTGGGCAAGGACACAGGGGCCCTATGATCCCCTATTGCCCGGGGGCCCCATGAGTTGTCAGTCCGCCCCTGGCTTCAACACCTGATCTTATGCCCCCTGACCTTCTAGCACGCTTTGAGAGGATGCTACATAAAGCTCTGAAGCAAACCTCTGACCGCATCACCGCTACACTGTCCAGAAAAATCCGCGAACTAGGACAATGCACTGCCGACCTAGAACAGAGAGTAGACGATCTTGATGCTTCGTTTCAGACACATGCTGAAAACCTTGACCTCCTGCGTGACGAAAACGCAACGCTGCTAACGCGCCTCAAGAACTTTGAAAATCGGGCAAGGCACTCAAATTTACGAATCCATGGCCTTCCAGAATCAATTGTCGATGCCCAATCAACTGTAACGGCGCTATTCCAAGAGCTTGCCCCAGCCATTCCAATTGAACGACTAGAAATGGACAGGGTTCATAGGGCATTAGCTCCATTGTCCCCTGATGGCCCACCGCATGACATCATAGCCAAACTTCACTTTTTTCGCACTAAAGAGCAACTCCTACAAGCAGCCCGCAATGCGGAATTCCTACAATTTCAAGGTCACACCTAGCAACTGTTTTAAGACCTCTGCCCTACAACCATCGCTAAACGTAGGGCTATGAAGCTCCGTCTGCAAGCGCTTCAGCAACATGCAATACTATATAAATGGAGCTTCCCCTTCGCAGTGCATTTCCGATATCAAACCCGAGACTACACTTGCAAAACCCCCAAAGACCTACTGGACACCCTGCGGAACCTTCAGCTACACTCTTCAACAGCACCACCAGAGAGTTCCAAACGGAGATCTACATCCTGCTCACCACGGATATCCTATCCCCCACGCTCCACCGGTGGTAAACTCAGCATCCACAAACGAGGGCGTTTCTCATCAGCGGGTCCATCTCCACAAGAAACCATGGACTGAACGGCGTCCTTCAACTTCTACCTTACCACATAAACCAGACTTCATAGCATTTAGCCAGCGTTGAAGTTGCCACCCATGGTGCCTACTTTCCTGCTTTACACTCTGATGCGGGTGTTGTGTATCCTTATGCTAGTCCCCAGAACTTGTTTAGCCCCTGTAAGGGACCGCCCGGCGGTACTACTAGCACTCCACTGAATAGGCGTCTAAGTCCCAGGGTGCTTGTTCACCAGGGCCCCTGATGGTGGGGATGGACTTGGAGCTCCCTGAGACCAGGTCGTGACTACTGGGTGCGCCCGTCAGTGGTAGTAGTATGCGCAAGGGGCTCCCACGGGGAAGAGTCTGATGTGAGGAGGTCGGAAGACCCCACTGCAAGGGATGGATGGATGGATGAGCAAGGTCAGACGGGCCGGGTCGGTAACAGAGAGGACGGCAAGGTACAAGGCAGCGGGCATAGAATGGTCGGGTCCACACCCAGGTCAGCAACAGCAGGTCAAATCCAATAGGGGGGCATCCAGGAGAGAGGTCAGGCAAAGCAAGGGTCAGAGCAGGAGAAAGCAAGCAAGTCAGTCAGGTTCAATCCGGGTCAAAACTTACAAGGGGTACAGGATCACAGGTTCACAGGATGCAGGGAAGACCAGAAGGCACTGAATGACAGGAATTTCGTGAGCTCAATCTAGAAACCCAAGACTGCAGGGATTACCCGCTTCCCCCTAGGAGCATAGGAGCCATTTAAATATCCCGCCCTGCGCGCTGCCATTGGTGCCCAGCGGGTGGCCGCGGCTTCTACTGCGCATGCGCGAACTCGAACGCCGCGGCCGGCCCCGGACCTAGTGCCCCGTGTCCCTGCACAGG